TGAGGCTTCCAGTTTCAAGTCCAGAGTCAGTAATAACGCCAAAGTATTTTACTTGATTGCACCAAGGAAGAGATGTTGCGATAGCGTTAGAGCTTTAATTTTCCAATTTTTTCTTTTCTTTGAGATGGCCATCGCATGGTATTTGGTAGAGTTTATCGTAATTTTCCATTTTCAAACCATTTTTCAAGTGTATAAATATAGGCCTGCACATATTTAGTAGCCATTGCAGTTGATTTTGAACTACAATATATGGCAGTGCGCGTTAGGTGTATTGAGCTAGGAAGACTTTGTTGGTAGGAGAGGGAAAGGAGAGGGAAAGGAGAGGGTATGTCGCACGTATAGAGGGAGTATAATAAAGGTGGTAGTAGGGAACCCTGAGTGGCTCCTGCTTCAAGGAACCTGGGGCGACTAAGTCTCTATTCGTACAACAAATGACCTATTGCAAAGAACTGAATACAGCATGCCCATAAGGTATGCTGGCAACCTGTCTATAATTAATTTATAATGAAGCCCTTCATGCCAGACTCCATCAAAAGCTTTGTCAATAGCTAAGGATACTAAACGTTAATTTCTTGTAATTGAAGGCTTTTGTATTATTCTCTACGATCCTTAAAATTAGCTGTGTGGTAGAGTGTCCTCTTCTATAGCCAGTTTGGTGTGGGGAGAAAGATTTTTGCAGATTTTGCAATTTTTTGTAATCTGGAGAGTATTATGGATTCAGCAATTTTGCCAACACAGGAGAATAAACTAATTGGTCGATAGTCTTTATCATAGTTGCTGGTAAGGTTACTTTTTGGTATAAGAATAACTTCTGATCGTTTCCATCTTGTAGGAAAGTAACTCTGTTGAAGAATAGAACTGATTAGTTTTGAAAGTTACACAACAGCCACTGGTGGAAGATTCTTTTTAGCATTTGACTTGATATACCATCAAGGCTACTACTTTTATAAGTATAAATTTATTAATCTCACTTCAAACCTGCTTTCATTCGTAAACACTTGCGCATCAATAGGTGATGCGTCTTTGCGGAAGTAAGATGGTATTTGGTTATGAACGAAATATTCATTTGTATTACTAAAGATAGTGGAGGGCTGGCGCTAAAGGGTAGTAAAACTTCTTATAATTATGTTTGTCTTTCCCTTATTGGGATAGGCTATTTCCCCTTTATATTAAAAAGTGGTATATCAATCATTCTTCTTTGAGTTTTAAGAGACTTTGTCATTTTCTTTATAGAATTATCGGATAGATTTAAAGATCTTAGATTCATATCCCAAAGATTGTTATAAAAGCACTTATTTCGCGTTTAACCGCATTATTTATTTTGTTAAAGGCTAACTTGTCACATGGGGCTCGTCTTTCCATAAATAACCTTTTTAATCTTGAGTTTATTGATGAGCTCTTCAACAAGGTGAGAGGTAAGGATATATTTAAAGTTAGTTACAATTATAAAAGTAGTTGATGAGTTTACTAAATAATTTATGGTGTTTTTAAAAGAAGAGAGAGCAGCATCAATTTTAGACGAGCAAGAAGGAATCGGCTAGAGTGGTAAGCTGTTAACCACTGTTCTTAAAAAAGATCCCAATTGGTTTCTCTCTGTGTTGGCCCAACTTAAGCCTCCATCCAGCAATAACACAAGGTCATGATCTGATAATTCATAAAAGTTAGTAATATGCACAGGAACTGAAATGTTCTTTAATAAAGTTATGTCCAACCTTTCAACGGAATCTCTAGTTGAGCGAGGTGTGGGTTCAAAGGGGGCTAGAACAAAAATTTCATTATTTTCCATCCATTGTTCTAGAATCTTGCCATTTGAATTGTCCTTCCTGCTGTTCTATAATGAATGCTTGCTATTTAGATCTCCACAGACAATGTTCGGGTTACTATTGTTAAATAATTTATCCAAGTCCTCCTTTAAAAATTCTTTCCACGGTGACTTATAACAGGAAGAAATATTCGCCGATTTCAAAGGGATGCATACACGGTAGACTCTAGATTTTTAAATAATGGTAAATATAATAACGAGTGCTCTATATGTTTCTTAATAAGTATAACTACTCCTCCACCTCCCATGTTTTCCCGATCTTGTCTATATATGATAATTTGGTGTATAAAACTTATTGTCCTTTTTCAAATGTGATTCTGAGATTTAAATGAGATCAACTTTTATTTTATTAGTCAACTCCTGGAGCTTCCGATTTTTGTATGACATCGGCATTCTAGCAGAGTATTTTAAGATGATGCTTATTACTTGGTGATTTCATTGCGATATTAAGTTTAAACGATAAATCACCAATCGATTTCGATATTTGAGTTAAAGAGTTATCTATTTATTTAAAAATAAGTTCATCGAGATTAATCAATTCATGCCTCGAGCGTAGCTTTTCCCAGAAGATATCGCGTTCTCCCGAGTTTGAGATATAGGGTTATCAGAATAGTTGTTTCTTGTAAGCGGCGTATTTTTAGGGTAATACAAACAATCTCTATAGCCTGCAATGTTCTCAACTAGACAGTTTAGGCATTTGGGTTGCCTCCTTTAGGTTTGGGGTAGGATCTGGAATCGTGGTTTTCTGCACATTTAACACATTGGATAAACGTTGATCTATTCCACCATTTTTTTTTAAAAATACCCACTGAAACGGAATTTAACCAATTACTTTCGTTGTTAGGTAGGGCAGAGGGCCCTGTTTAGATTATATCTTCTCATTCTGGTAACTTTAGTGGGATCCGCTTTATTAATAGTAAAAGTATATATACCCCTAAAAATAAAATTAAAGACATCTAATTAACTAAACATTGCATCCAATAAAATAAACAATTAAAATGTAGCAATTAGGTTCGGTGTCAATTAAATTTGTATTCTGAAAGAAGATCATATATTTGACACAAGATTCTATGACTTAATTTTTCCCTCTGATTTTAAACTTAACCTTTTGAAGAAACAAAAATTAACCAATTCTTATAAGGCGGTTACTATGCATTAGTATAGGAAATAAAGTATAACTGATAAATAATTTTAACGTATTAGATTTCTCGCCACGCCAAATATTGCCATCGATACCAGTTAATATACTATATTTGTTAATTACAATAAAGAGGCGACTGTCCAGACTTTTTGTCTGTTAGTTTTTTCGCCAAGAAGGCAACCACTTTAAGCGGGCAGAAACTTATTTACTAAGGTATACTAATGGTTTGAAGGAATTTAGTATGAGATACGTGACTAAATTTATATAAAGATAGATTACTTTTAGAGTAACTGTTTCGAGCTATTACTAACGAATAGGAACCAAAATTAAATAGGTATAAACTGTAGTTTTAATTTTTTACAAATTAGTCTAGTAATAAAAACTTTTTTAAGCTTTCCCTTGGAAGAAGGTTTCGGTTATTAATCTAATTTTTTAACAAAATTTGGTAATTCAATAATGGTAAAAAAAAAAAAGCTTGTATTTAGATCTTTTAAAGTTTTGTTTCATTTGGCATATTGACTGAAAAGGAGAGCCTAGTAATATAATTTTTATTTGCACTAAGACAGCATATCCGCCCTTTTATTCGTACAAAACTTGGGTGTAATATTCACTACTGTTCGTGTGCTCTTCCCGTTTATACCACTGCGAGCAGCTGTGCATCCTCAGCTTAGGTTCAAGAGCCAGTTAAAAAGCGAGATTTGTATTATTTGGCTTGTTTAATTAATATAATTTTCACGTCATTTTTGTTTGCAATTTTATGTTTTATTTACGAAGAAATTCTCAAATTTTTAATAATAGTAGCTATTTAGCGCGATGTTTTTTGGCTTCCTCTCTCCAACAGGCGAGCAGTTTTTTTCCACATACAGACGTTGTAAGTTACTAATTTTTATTATTTTCACTTTTATCTTAGTAACTTTGGTATTTTTATATATAATTTACTTAATAAACAGAAATTACTCTTAAATAAATCTTTCAAGATAAGTGAACTACGATCTGGATTATGTTATAATTATAGACAGTCAGGGTTAAGTGACAATATGTAAAAAACCGGTTCAAAAGCTGGAGGAAAAATCACATCTCATCAGCCGCTAACCGCTTTTATAAGTAGTTAAAAGCATAGGGAGCTGTTAAAATAAAAACCTTAACCTGAATTTATACTCTGGCGCCAACCGGACGAATAAAAGGAAATTATTCCTGCTTTTACACACGATACTATCAATATGTAACATAAATAAACTATATATACAACCTTTCTCCTTACGAGATGTGCAACATATCAGCTTAAATTGTGAGTTAAGTGGGGGATTCTCTGCCCCAATAATATTAATTGTTTTTATAATATAGTAAGGGTATAAAAACGACTTTATCCTTTACCATTTAATGCGATGTTAATAAGTAGCATTTTTTAAATTAAGGTACGTGTAAATAAGGACTCAAAAATAATTTTTTACCAAAAGCAACCTATATAGTTAAAATTTACATTGCTAGCACCTTAATTTGTAAATATTGCAGGATCTTGAACCAAAATAAAATTATTTCACTTCCTGGAAACCTGTTTAAAAATCATAGAGAGAATCCCGAATATCTTGTAGTTTACTTTCTTATTAAACTTTTTGCTTTATATCTACTTTAATACTTAATTTTTTCACTTTAAAAAGGGATTTTTAACCAAGATTATCTTACCCTCAAACAAGAAAAATTATTTTAAAAAAATCTTAAAAATCTTAAACGCTTCTAAGTTAACTGTTACGTTATATTTATAATATTCTGAAAACTATTATAAAGGAGGGCATAAATAACTTTTAATATTTTAGGCTTTTATAATTATTATATTTTGTAACGTAATACCTGTGGCTTGTCTTAAAAGTGTAAGGGTTTATTAAAAATATATCAAGGCTTCTAGTATAAAGACACTTTTTTTTTATCAAGTTTCTATAAACTTCTTTTCTTTTTATAAATTCTTATAACTCTTTGTAATAAATTTACAAAAATTCTTAACGTTTAGACTCTCTCTAATTTTTTTATATTATAGAGATTTGAGCAAAACACCCTATTTACACTTGATAAGAGCTTATTTGGGAAGCTTATTAAACTTAAGTTCTTGTAAGTTTACAGATATTGCAGTTTCAGAATAAATTGAAAATTAGTTATTTGTACATTCTAAATTACTAATGCAATGCTTATTTCCCTATTTATTTGATTAAAAATGCTTTATTTTTTTTGTTATACTTAGAAATCTCGGCCATAATAAAATTACCTTTATTCCTGCCGGCCTATTTGCTGAAGTTGCTGCCTTGACTTTATTGTAAGTTAAACTTAGATTTACTATATAAGTTACCTATATCTGCTGTGTACTTTTCAAGTATTTAGGGAAAGAAGATAAATAAATATATTTATTTATAAGAAAAAAGGCTACTAATTAATTATTGTATCAAAAATAAAAAATTTTCTGAATAGTAGCTTTGTAATATTAAAATTTTAATTTCGTTTATCAATTGTCGGACAGCAAAAATAAATTACGAACAAAACATCGTAGCAAAGATGGTTATTGGGTGATTAAAAAACCTTTATCGCATTAATAGCCTTAAATGGCGTTTACAAAACACCCTAATAAAAGTTTAATCTACGAAAAAATATAATAATTATTGTACAAGTCAAATTTTACGGTACAGTATGGAATGTGGCTACTTATTTTTCTAGAGTTTATAATATATTAAATCGGTTGGACAAACTTATAATTATTAAAACTTACTTCATAAATATGTACCGTTAGATCTTAACTAAGAAATACGATAATAACAATATTTGGAATTAAATAAAAGGGTGTCAGTACGAATAAATCTATAAAATATACTAGGAGGCTTAATGAGAACAACACTACCTCCATTAAGGAAGGAGCATTAGGACTGCTGGTTAATTTGAATGAGTTGTAAGTACTACTTAATTAGTTGTACGTGTAATAGCTTCATATATTATGCATGACGTTACCCGTTTTATAATTTATAAATATGGAGATATAAGCGGTAATTCACCCAGTTCTCTTGATAAAAATTTGCTTAAGAGAATTGTCAATCTTAAATACCTGTAAGTCAGTATTTAAAACAGTTATTACATAAGATTTAGCGAATTACAAGTTGCAATGTTTCTATAATCGGTAATAACTTAAAGGAGGTTTAACGATAATGGTGTTGTTTCTGTGGAAAAAGGAGCCTTTGAACCACTTGACGAATTAAAAAATAGCGTAAGTAAAAATGTCATGATATATTATAATAAATTTTATGTAATCTATTTGTATTATTTGTAATGAATGAAGTAAATTGTCTTGGTATCATATAGATTAATTTATAGTATTACCTATTTTTTGGCATTATAAAGAAATTTAAGTTTTAATTCGCTGACCTATTTCGATGAAAATTTTTTAGAAGGGAGTTATCGGCCTTAACACCTGTATGTAGATAGTTGCCAACTAATGCAATTATTCTGTAAAATTTACAATTAAAACTGTTAGGTATTATACTATTATTTTAAATTAAGAGACTTAGCCACAGTATGTTAACCTTGCTGGTAAGGACTCGTTTAAGAAACTTGTTAACCTAGAACACTTGTAAGTTATTAAATATTTTGTACATTAGGATACCAGTGCATTATAACCCTCTTGTTAACTTCTAGCGAACTTATTATAATAAAATTTAGGCGACCTGTTTCTAATAAATTAAACTTTCTTTCTTCGACTTTTTTGCTGGACTTAAAGACTTGGCATCATTGTGAGTTATTTCGTGCAAATAAAATTATACTGTTGCCCAAATATCCCATTTTTCTTTAAACAATTATTTTTGCTTAATTATAAAGAGGCTTAAGCCAGAACATACTAATTACTCTTAATAAGGGCTAGTTCAAGGAACTTACTAATCTCCAGTATTTTACGTTGGTATATGTTATATGCTATAAATTTCTATATTAAATATTTCTATTATTGTCATTTGTTATATAATAATAATTATTATAAATCAAGTTTCAATATCGCGTGTCTTTTTAGTTATCTATTTAAAAAAAAGGCTTCATGTAATTTGTTTTAATAATAGTTAGAAAGCTTGATTATAATAAAGTTATCTTTATTCCTTCTGGCCATTTAACCAAAATAAAAGCCTTAATTTATTTGAAAGTTTCAGATATATATATACGTAGTCAACTTTGCTTCCATAATATTTTTAAACTAGTTTTAAATTAAAATAATAACAATAACAACAATTAGTAAACTTTTAATAGTTATTTGTGATAGCTTTGTTATAAGAAAAAATGTTACAACTTATAAATTAGTGCTAACCTTAAAAGCGCAATAAATAATATTTGCTTACCTCGATTATTCGATGACCTAACTAAACTAAAATATTCCGTACAGAAAATAAACAATGCTACTAGCAGGGATAGTGTTATTACTGACATTGGTCGCAATGCTTATATTGCCAATTTAAACCTGCATAAGACGTAAGTGTACGTGGCCAACATTATGTAAATTTCTTATCTTACTATTATAAATTTAAATATAGAGTTAATAATGACGTTGGATAAAACGTTTCATTGTGACCTAACCTTTATTGACGAACTCTGCACACATGACGGCTCTATACAAAACTTAAAGCTTTACTTCGTAAAAGACTTAAGAATTTTAAGTAGAGGATGATTCTCGCTAAGATTAAAAAAATAAGAACTGTTACGGCGCGAACTTTGGGGATGAAGAAGGAAAAAATAACGATATCACCTGTACTTAGGAGATTAGAAAGCAAAAGACTAAAACCCCAGTTCTATATGAAAAAAATTGTGCTCTCTTTACGGTTAGCTTTATGCTTGTTAGACTGAGTTAGCAACTTCGTGGGTAGATAAACCGATTATATATCATGTACTTGGCAAAATCATGGGTATTAGTGTACGAAGGGCTCGTATAAGAGTTTTTAGTTTATAAAAAAATACATGCTATTACCTATTAAAAAAAGGAGATTTGAGGGAGACCAAATAGAATCAAGTTAATAGCTCTATCGCTGAGTTTTAATTTTTAAAAGTTTGATAATTTCCACTATACTTTTAGAATCCTTTAATTATACACGCTTTTTTAACATTAAGTAGTTACTAAAGTTGCCTTATTTTTATTCTTATGTGTATAGTCATATTTAATAAAAGTTTTTTTGGGGGAAGAATTTTATTATTATTATTATCAAGAATATAATTGTAAAAATAGTATAAACTCTTGTCATAAATTTGACATAAGGAATATATTGGTATAGTTTCAATATAGTTTCATTAAACCATAAACTTTAACTTTAAATTTCTTATTAGAATAAAAAAAATAAATGCCTTTTTCTTTAGATAAAATTGAGTTTTTGTGAGAGGGTTATGAACTTGTAAAACTAAATCAAAATTCTTAGATATGAAATAGACAACCTTTCATGTAAATAGATTTACAGACCTCCGCTAACTGTAAAAAGAATATTTTAGTTAAAAGCCATGGGATATGTGCTCGTTATGACATTTTTTGTACAACTGAAACCCTCAGAGCCCCCCTAACAGAGCCAACCCTCACGAGGGAGAATTGGAAAAATTTCTGTTTTATGTTCACTAGGTACAGAATTGCTTTACACAAGGATTCTAAAAGCAAGCTTATGAATTTCAGTAGGATTCTTTTTAAAGGCTCTCCAGACCATAAAAACCTCTTTTCTATATACCATGAAGCAACCGTCTTTTGTTGCATAATGTTTTTCTAATCAATGATATCTTATAACAACAATGTTACGGGATTCCCATGAGTAATCCCGCTGCTCCAGTTTTAGCTACTTTATACTTGGCGTATTATGAAGCTTTGGAGTTTCATAAATACTTCCCTTATATAAAGTTGTTTAAAAGGTAGTTGGATGATACATTGCTCATATTGGTAGAAAATGATTGTTTCACTTTCTAACGTTTTCAACCGCATGACCCAATGTACTAAACTAGAGCGGGTTTTGGAGCTTACCAGCACAATATTACTTTTTTTTTTTTAGATTTATTCATTTGGAAAGTCGTAGATGGAATTATTAATAAACAAATTGAAAAGGAACTCGGTTTATATCTTTATTTAACCTCTAACAGTGCTCATCCTCCTAGTACCATAAAAACTCTTATTGTGACTATGGCTCGCAGGAAAAAGATCTTAAGCACTTTTGAGAGGATTTTTTTCTTTTACAAAAAGTCTTTATAACAGACATCTGAAAAGAGGCTACCTTTAATAGTTTATACCGTTAGAAAAGTTTTAGGAATACTTTATACCACATCCTCAGGAGATAGAAAAGCATGCAGGTATAATGATAACAAAATAGACATTGCAATCTTTAAGTTCATATGTAACCTCTATGCTATTAAAAAGATCATCTATGCCGATGAACTAGAAGAAATGTCTTACTCTAAGCTCATAAAATAGCTTACAAACAACCACGCAATCTGAAAATCATGTTTTTTAAGACAAGTAATTGGAGAAATTAGTAGGTTAGATGTTTTTATAATTTATCAGATTGGTAAAAAAGTTGTTTACTTACATTTTTGAGGTTTCTATTTGTAAACAAGTTGGAAATAGTTAGTTTTTATTAAACAATATAAGAAAAAGATCTCTTGTCTTCTATTTACACTATTTCTGACTTTTTTTTCAAGTATAACAGGGTAGCCACTGATGATTGCCCACTCGAAAGGGATTGTTATTTAGGGCCCTTTGGCGAGAGTTATAGTCAAAAGTTCATAAATTCATATATTACTTTTTATTAAAACCTTACCCCTAACCCTGGGGGCTTCAAAAGGGCCTATTATTTTTTGTAAAACATTAAAATCTTCAAAACGCCTATCATAGTCAACCCCAACCCCATGGAGACCTAAAATTCCTTCATTAGTTCTCCCATTTTTTTAAACTGTACTAGGGCGACCCTTACCACCAATTAAGGAGGATAAGCCGCAATAATACAAAAAATTAGCTTTATTAGTTTGGTAGAGGGATATATGAAATGGAGTTTTAGGGGGACGCGTGCAGTTGGCAACGGATTAAAGGAAAGGTTCAATCAATGCCCAGAAAAAGGAATTTTTAGCTTATTCCATGTGTATATGTATCTACCAGGGCACCAATCCGCTACCTCAGTCCTCAAGTATTACGCAAATCTAATTTACGAATTTTATCGATTTCTCTTTCAATGCTTTAGAGCGCTATATTTAACTAAGGGAAGCTGCGCGTATAGAAGTCGAAAGTAACAAATCTTAAAAATACTTAAAGCTCCAAAAAGATCGTATGGTCGAAAAATAGTAGAATCAGTTGAGAAGTGCTTAAAAAAATGAGTTATGGGTCGATGGAAGATGTTCGATCTGAAACTAGATAAATAACTTAACTTGACTAAAGCTGAGAATAAAAAGTTTAAAAAAATTTAGTTTATTGTGTACATTAGTAATAATTTTACTAAAAACTAAGATATTATAGGGAAAAAAAAATCTTTGCTCTTTTCAAATTCATCATTGTAAATAACAGGAAAAAAATCTTGATTCATATAATTTAACATATCCCTAGTTTCTGGCACACATTCTATTAATGTTTTGTGAAACACATTCGAACCCACAACATCGTCTAAAGGGAAAAGTGCACCAATCGGCTGTTCCCCTTTTAAAATACTACCATAATATCCATTATCCTTTTCTAAGTTCTTAAGAATATTTTCATTTAGCTTTTCAAAAAAATTATTATTTGAAAAAGTAGCAAATAAAGTGTTAGAAGCTCTAAATTTGACGACAGCTGGTGAGATAAAAATTTTATCTGGATATTTAAGTAAAATGTCATTTTTTCTAGCAATATACTTTTTTTTAAAGCAGTCTAAGGCAGGTTCCACTTCATGGTTCACGAAAAAACCATCATTGTTATGCATTATTTGATACTTCATTATGTCGCGAGCGACATCGTAACGCCCATTTTTCCTTGCAGCTTCATAATATGGACACAATGGACCATTTTCAAAAAATGGACGTAGGGAATTATCTTCCCTTACGTTGTGGAGAGTTACATCAACTAAATTTCCAAAAAGGTTTCGTTTTTCTGCAAAATCTTGTTCCATAGAGGCAATGAAATCGTAATGTAAATAAATTTCTTTTTTTATAGGAGGTAATCTGTCATAACTATACAAAAAGTCCTTGATACTCTCTACATCCTGAATAAAGAAGTGTATTTTTTTGGGAAGTTTATACGAAATTTCTGGAATTTTTGGTACATTGGGAAGGAAATAATCATTGACAAAATAAGGAGAACTTTCCCTTAACTCGTCTTTTGCTTCTAGTAGTAAATTATCTTCTACCCAGTTACCATTTTTCAACGTTATAGAGGGCCCCAACTTTATTTTAGTTTTTGAGTATGAATATCTTTTCCAAGTCCCAGATTGTAAATCATAAATTACACTTTTTCTTGCCCCGTTAATGTTGACGCAGTATTCATTAGAAAACAAATTACTGGCCTTTCCAGTATAAATATTATCCATAGGTACTGAAACTTTTCTAGTCGCAGTACTCTCAGTAGTCAACAATTTTGGTACTTCCTCTAGGACTTGAACACCTCCAACTTCATTAAAGTAAACTGTTTTTCCAGTACTTCTAACATTGGTAAAGGAATCTTTATTTTTGTTAAAAGAATAGAGCTCTCTTACATTAGACCTAGTGGGAAACACGATATACTCTTTATTTTCTACAATAACGATTTGAACGTTATTTTTAATCATCATATCAACTTCTGTGGGACCCTTTGATAAGAAGGGGGAAACAAGTGGATCTCTTGCTAAAAAAGTTTTAGGTTTTTCATATTTGTAAAAACCAATGCCGCTTAGTTTTTCAAAGTAGTCATTAATCCTTTTATAACTATTACCAGTAATTTTTAAACCGTTCCCTTTAATTGAAGAATAATATTTTAGGTATTCTCGATAGTTAGCTGAAGTATCTTTTAAAGTTTGTGTAAAAATCTGTGCAAAGTTGTCCACTGATTTTTCATTACTTTTAGCCTTATTTAAATTAGAGAGGAAGGTTTCCAGAAATTTTTCTTTATCTTCTCTGATGCGGGAAGCTATAACGTCGGTTGGAACCACGTACTCTAATGTTTGTTCATCGAGAACTGGTGTCTGGAATAAAAATCCCCATTCATCGGTAACAACTGATCGATCAAATATATTCGCAGGTACCTTCACATCATTGGCCAAAAATAGACCACTGTGTGTTTGACTTAACTTTAGACGCGCTAATAAAGAAACCAGGTCATAGTGTTTTTTTTCCATGTAAGGCCGAAGCTCATCTTCGTAAAACTCTTCCATGTCCTCCTTTAGTTCTAAATAATGCACCTGTACACCGGAATAGGCTTCTCCCTCAGCAACAATTTGATTTATAAAGGTTTCTTCCCCATAAACAAATAGGTTTGCACATTTTTCAGAAGCAGTGGTTGCCGAATAGTAAAAGGCGTTTTTAAAATTCTTTAAAACATGAACTGCCGATTTATCAACGCCTTCAATTAGTACGAAATTGAGAACTATTGGCACTTCATAATTTTTTTTAACAGACAGAAGTTCCTGAAGGTTCCAATCAAGCTTTTCGTGGGTCAAAAAATTGTTTTCAATCGGGAATGTATTTCTTTCTTGTAGTTCCACCCATACTTCATTAGCGGTGTACTCTAATTGCCTGGTGCTTCCTTCTAGATGCCAGTAATTCTCCATTTTGTTGTACAGAACTGTCCTCATTTCTCCTTTGTACATTACTGTAAATTTATTCTCTCTAAAAACTATCCCTGTTATGTAGCCCTCGTTCTTGGTGCCCTCTATATTCTCATAAACAAATAAGTTTTCCCGAGCTTCAGTTAAGTCTTCTATAAAAGATTCATCGGGAATTATTATAGGCCGTTTGGTCGAAACTTCTATCAACTCATTTTCAGTGGTAATA